AATCTGTTATCTTTATTTTTTCAACTATTTTTCTCTTTTCTTGATAAATTTTGTTCGCAATTTTCTATTCTTTATATTTCAGCACCCCATTATTCTCAATTATTTTATTTTTGGCCTATTTTTCTCTATTCTTCATTGTCATGCCCATTATTTTCTATGTTATAAACCCCTCTCATATCATCAGTTATGTCCTTCTATGCAAAGCATACCGGTATTAGATAATTAGCAGACTGGAACTTTATTTTTTGGCTATATAATTACATATTGTTGCTTTAGACTACCAGATCAACAAATATCTGGTCTTGCATGTCAGATAAGTAAGTGAATGCTATGCCTGTCTATAAGATTAACAACCTGCAGCTTTGCCTGTCTAGCAGATTATTTAGGTGTAGCAAGATGCCTAGCTCTGTGTCTGTCTACCAGATTAGCTGGTTGTAGTTTTGTCGGTCTGCCAAATTAAGAAAGTGTCCACCAGATTAGCAAGTTAAAGCTTTGCCCTTCTGCCATGTAATAAACCTGCAGCTTTGCCCGTCTACCGGGTTAGCAAGTTGTAGCTTTGCCTGTCTGCCAAGTTAACAACCTGCAGCTTTATCTGTTTTCTAGGTTAGCTTTGCTTGTCTGCCAAATTAACAACTCGCAGCTTTGCCTGTCTACCACATTAGCGACTTGTAGCTTTGACTGTATGTCAAAAACACAACTTGCAGCTTTGCCTGTTGCTTAGTAATCAAAATAACTGGTTTCAGCTACAGTGTCTATTAGATTATCAGGTTTGAGCTGTGCCCTTTGAGCAAATTGTCAGGCAATTGCATTGCCAGTCCACCGTAGAAGCAAGAAAGAATTTCTCCTACTTTTTAGATCAGCAGGATTAACACAGATATGAAGATTGCAGCTGTCTGTTTCAAGATTAGAAGATTGCAGTGTATGTTTCAAGATTAGATTATTGTAGCTTTGTCGGTCTACAAGATGAGCAGACTCCAGCTTTGTCTGTCTGCAAGATCAGCTGAGTGTACCATAATTTGTGTACTATACAAGATAAACAGGGTGAAGTTTTGTCTGTCTACAAGATTATCAGATTGAAGCTTTGTGTATCTACACTATAAACATATTGTAGCTTTGTCTGTCTACCAGATTAGCAAAGTGTTTGCTTTCTCTGCCTTAAAGATTAGCAAAGTATTTGCTTTCTCTGCCTTAAAGATTAGCAGAGTGTACCCTTGTCTGTCTTCATGATTAGCAGATGTTTTCTGTTGTCTGTCCAATCAATTACTAGTATTAAGGATTACTTCGTAGCATATTGTAGATTTGTCTGTCTGCAAGATAAGCACCTTGTAGCCTTGTTGTTACAGAAATGATGAGAATGTGATTGCCATTAGAGTTTATGTGTCACAAAGGATGCCATGTTTGCCACCAGATGAAAACAAGAATGTGTCCATAGTACACGGATGCCCCTCTCGCACTATCATTTTCTATGTTCAGTTGACCGTGAATTTGGGGTCAAAACTCTAATTTGGCATTAAAATTAGAAAGATCATATCACAGGGAACATGTGTACTAAGTTTCAAGTTGATTGGACTTAACTTCATCAAAGACTACCTTGACCAAAAACTTTAACCTGAAGCGGGACAGACGGACGGACGGACGGACAGACCAGAAAACATTAAAAAAACGTTATACGTTATAGCATACAAACGATCTCAGTTCAGGTTGATCTGCTGGCAAACGTGCTGCCAAAAAAAAAAGTACTCAAGAGTACTTTTAATGTATTTTTGTTATTTATGCTATTTTCATTTGTCTATTATAATATCTGTCACGTTATATACTGTACAATGTCTCATTTTTGTTGCTTATACTATCATAATTGTTAATTGTAAATGCCCCCTGTGGGACCCTGATTGGAAAAATAAAATATTTGATTTGATTTGATTTTGATTTGATTTATAGCGGGTTTTCCAATCATTTCCTAAAATTTTAAAACATTTCGACTTAATGTTTCAGAAGAGAAGATTTTTGAAAAGTGGCCAAACAGAACCAAAGATTTCATCTAGCAGCCATTCTTGTCATCCGATCATAATCAAATGAGGATTGTGTTTAGAGGACCTTGTATACACCTTTCCTGCCAAATTTCAGAGATAATAAAAAGGTGATTTTTCCATAGGGGTTAGAAGGACTTATGTGCCACCAATGACAGCACGTTTGCCAGCAGATCAACCTAAACTGAGATCGTTTGTAAAGGGTCTTCTAATTATGAATCACCTAATTAATTTCAAAACATTTTATCTTTGTAACCTTTAACCTGGAAAATTGTCAAAGTTTGCCTTCGATAGACATGTTTTCATTTGATCCAGTCAAATGAGGAATTATTATAAAGCCTTCCATTTATTGTTCCTGCCAATTTTGGTTCAAATTGACCTAGTGGCCGGCCATGGGTTGAAAAAAGTGATGAAAATGCTTTTTGAATGACAAAAGGACACAAAATGACGTCTACAGCTCATGGCTCTATGAGCCAAGTGACCTTGAACTTTGTCCTATTGGCCCACATTCAGTAAGATTCTTTCCCTTGCCTGTATTTTTCATCTGTACACTTTTCATTTCAAATAAGCAATGGAAACTGAAGTTACCACCAGAAGGTATTTGTTTCAAACCCACAAACAGACAAATCAACGACTATATGTCCCAAAAATATTTTAATCTGGAAGCATGAGATGAATACCAAATATCACTGATTTATCATTACATGACACTATCAACTTGACCTAATCACAAAGTTTAACAACTGTTCTTACTCAAACTGTCTATGTCTATACCTTACCATGTTAAAATTTGGGGGAGGGGGGTTTGTCAGCCCTAATTGTCCAGCTTACACTGTAACGGTCTGGAACTGCCTAAAAATTGACCTGAACCTGTAGGAATATAACTACACAAAGTGACAACAATATATTTATATGCTTTTGGAAAAGCTACTACTGCTTGCAGGTCCCAGTAAAATAAAACTAGAGGCTCTCAAGAGCCTGTGTCGCTCACCTGTATTTACTGATGCTTTGGAAATCATGTAAAATAAGGTTAAAATCATAATTAATAGTATTAGTTATTAGATATTATAATGATATCTAAGATAATAACAAAAAACTGCAAAATTTCTGTCAAATTACTAACTCAGGGGCAGCAACCCAACAACGTCGGATTCGTCTGAAAATTTCAGGGCAGAAAAATCTAAATCTGATGAACATTTTTGCCACCTGTCAGATTAGCTCTAAATGCTTGATGGTTGGAAGGCGGGGTCATCTAACAATTTTTTTAAACTTGATACCCTAATAATGATTATGGCCAAGTATGGTTGAATTTGTCTCAGTAGTTTCAGAGAAGAAGATTTTTGTTAAAGATTACAAAAATTTACAAAAATTGATAAAAATTGACTATAAAGGGCAATAACTCCTAAAGGGGTCGACTGACAATTTTGGCCATGATGACTTATTTGTAGATCTTACTTTGCTGAACATTATTGCTGTATACAGTTTATATACAGTTTATCTCTATCTATAATAATATTCAAGATAATAACCAAAAACGGCAAAATTTCCTTAAAATTACCAATTCAGGGGCAGCAACCCAATAACAAGTTGTCCCATTCATCTGAAAATTTCAGGGCAGATAGATCTTGACCTGATAAACAATATTACTCATTTCAGATTTGCTCTAAATGCTTTGGTTTCAGAGATATAAGCCAAAATCTACATTTTACCCCTATGTTCTATTTTTAGCCATGGTGGCCATCTTGGTTGGTTGGCCGGGTCACCGGACACATTTTTTAAGCTAAATACCCAAATGATGATTGTGGCCAAGTTTGGTTAAATTTGGCCCAGTGTTTTCAGAGGAGAAGATTTTTGTAAAAGTTAACGAACGACGACGGACGACGGACGCCAAGTGATGAGAAAAGCTCACTTGGCCCTTTGGGCCAGGTGAGCTAAAAAAGATGAAAAAAAATGCAAATTCTAGATTTATGATTAAATTGGCCTTCTGTAGACCACTATACTCTTTTCCTCAAAGCTCTCCAATTTTGTGATTCAGTTGTTCATGAGGCCCACTATGTATGCAGGCTACAGCAAGCTGCATCTAGTGGCAACCATGGGTCATGTAGGTCAAGAAATATGATGAAAAATTGTCAAAAAAGAATTTATGAAATTGCCAACTTAGGGGCATATATCTTCCTATAATATTTGTCACAGACAGAAATGTACACCATACAAACATTCCATACACCAAAATTAATTTACCTTTGTTTATAGTATCTAAGAAACAGAAAAGTTGAGAGGATACCTGCAACACTGACATGTACACCTTACAATCATTCTATACAACAAATATACTGTGGATTCATTTATTTTTGTGGATTTATGGAAAATTTCCTTGTAGTGGATAATAATTACTAGATTTCATAGTTTTACCAAAGTCTGCATTCAAGCTTATAGAAAATGTTTGATTTGTTATATATTTTAATTTGTGGTTCACCTGTACCCACTAAAATTGGTATCCCACAATAATAACGAAACTATAGTAGTTGACCATCTGCTGATAGTATCTGAGAAACCTACCTAATCACAAAATCTTAACCTTGATCACTGATCCATGAAATGAGGTCAAGGTCAGATAAATCTTGTCTGAAAGGGATGTAGCCCTGGCAAGGATCCAATTACCAAATATAGTTATCCAATTGCCCATAATAAATGTGAAATTTATTTTACAAAACAAATATATTTTTTGTACACTGTCACTGAACCATAAAAATCAGGTCAAGGACAATGGAAATATAACAGGAACTATGTTACATTAGAGATCTATATACATGGTATGAAACATCCAGGTCTTCTACCTTCTGATATATTAAGGTTTATACAAACAGTTAACACCTTCCTCACTTTTGATGGGTTAACATCCATTCTGTATCAGTCAAGGCAAAAAGAAATCTTATTTGTCAAAATAAGGTTAATCAAAAACAAACAATACAATAAAATTAATTCTTTTTATTGTGGTATAACAACTATGTTCTATGATATCTCACAACATAACAAAAGTCAGCACACAAAAAGTCTTCTTACAGCACTATACTATATAATCTCTCAATAATGTAACATTTTACATAGTGCTTATACTAAATACCATCAAAAAGTAAAAAATAATCATTGAGGATGCAGACATTTGGTATGCATACTTTCACAGCAAAGCTTTCACAAGAGAACAAAAATTGATCAGGTATGATGTAAAGCAGAAAATGATTTGTCTATATGAATAACCCCATAATCCAAACGAAAAATGTTCTGAAGAATTCCAGAAAGATTCAATAATAAATATTGGTTTAACTGAAAATCGTATTTTGATGTCATGGAAAAATCTAGGTCGAAAAATTAATATCAAAATACCTGATATTCTACCACTAACATGTGATAAATAAATAGACATACCGGTATGTGAAATATTTAATATTGAATTACTTTGGATGAACTAACTTGGACATTGGAGACAGACGAATTTGTTTCACCAATTAATCAAGTGAATGTAATATGACTGGTAACAAGTGAAAAAATTGAAAATTTTAGATTTTCGGTAATGGCAACAAAATATGTATCGATAATTCAAAATACTATTTTCTTTTCTTTTTATTTTGTAAACAATTGATGTTATGACTAAAGCACCATGCCTAACAGATAAAAATAAAGAACCAGTTAAAAAAAAAAGATTACACTTAGATAGGACCATATGTTGAAGAAAACTGGTATTACGACTGCTATAGAAAAAGAATCATAAATTCAAAATAAGAAAATATTTGGATTGCATTAAATCGGAATCCCCACTTTACCCTCAGATAATAACGTAAAATTTTTGTTTGTATAATTTAACTGACACTATGATTTGTTTACAAAGTCTACTCCAGCTTGAATGTTTTTCTTAAGTTCAGGCATAGCGGCATCTAAGAGCTGCATTTCATAATCGATGAGTTTACCTCTACCAAGATTCTTTTCAACACCATTTTTCTGGAAAAAAGAAAGAAATTACATTTGTAAATTTAAAAGTGCCAGTCATGTAGGACAAAGATAAACATAGTGAATGATACTAAGATAAACAACTTTTACTTCAATAAAGGGATAAAATATGTATTGATTAAAGTGAGCATTTGATCTTTGTATAATTAATATTCCTGTAACATTGAATGTTGGATGTTTAATATACTTGTGCCATTCATCCTCAGTTAATGCAAATTATGCACAATAAGTAATAGTTTAAGTACCTTACCTTTCTCATATTTTCTGGTAAATCATTACAAGAAAGAAATTACAATTTAAAATACCAAAATATTAAAAAATTAAAAAATATCAAAAACATATTTCTGGTTTCCTTTGAAATTCCTCCTAATTTACATTTTAGCACAGAAGTTCTATAAAAAGTACTAATCCACACATAATAATTAACTGATCAATTAAAAATATTACAAAAGATTTCTATTTCAATGTAAATTTGATATTTTAGTCTTAGATGCATTATTTTTATATTAGTTGTTTTATGCTTTGACCAAGCTTTCATTAACTGTGAGTACTCTCAGATCTGTACTTTGCATCTTATGTCTTTTTGTTTGTTGTTTTTTTGTGTAAAAAAAATAATACTATAAAAACAGCATGCACATCCATCATAAAGCTGTCTTATACTTACACCTAATAAGAGAGGCGTTGAGAAGAATGCAGCATCTGTTTCTTCTGACTGTACATATGCACATTCTACTTGTCCTTCACCTCCAGCCATAGCTTCTAACAATGAAAATGTAAATCTAGCTGCAGCATATGCCATAGACAAGGTTGCTGATCCCTGTAAAAACAAAAAGTATTTATACAATGTTGAAATTTATTGCTGTGCGCATATATAGTTGGTTTTCTCTTTTGAATTGTTTAACATTTTGTCATGTCTTGGAGGGGCCTCGGTGGCAGAGTGGTCTAAGTAGTTACTACTGTAATCACTAGCCAGTCAACACTGAGGATGTGAGTTCGAATCCCGCTCGTGGGGGTGCACTTGACTCCAATCTTAATTGACTAGGATTGTCAGTTTTCCTATCAAAGGTCGTGGCTTTTTCCAGGCACTCCAGCTTCCTCCACCAATAAAAACTGGCCGCCACGAAATAGCCCAAAAGCGGTGCTTAAAAGTGACGTTAAAACACCCAAAATCAAATCAAAATCAGTCATGTCTTGGCTTTATATAGCTTGCTGTACGTGTTGGATATTTGTATCATTGGCAATCATACAGCATCTTCGTATTTTTATTCACTAACCTAAATGTTTGAAATTAGAATGTAATGTAAGCGCTCTTAAACTAATTTATTATATCTTGTGATTTATTAGTGATAGAATGATCAATTATAGTATGGACTTTTAATAGATAGACGTAGATAAAGGGATATAACTTTAAATCAGTGAGGCATTTGTAAGTCATTTTCATCAATGCCTTTAATATATTCATGTGAAACAGAATTACTTGAAGAGTAGAAAATTATTAATGAAAAAGGTATACTCAACTAGACCATTTAGAGCTAGCAATAAGATTTGTTGTAGGACCATATGGTGACAAATTAATGTCTATTTTTGTGGAAACCACCCTGGTAGTCTCGTGGTAGCATGTTGGCCTCGAGTGCGGGAGGTCTTGGGTATGCGGCATTAAGGAGTAAGAGCAAAGACTGATCTGCTCAGAGTCAGAATAATGTGTTTGGGTATGGAGACATGTTTTCCTGTGGACTTTTATCTTGTAGACTAGCACGTTAAAAATCCAGTTCAGCGTGTCGGTCTAGTACAAAGCAGGGCTAATATTCATATTACACTTTAACATGTTCTTGTCCTGAATATGAATATTAATTTGCCACTGGGTGCTAAGCAGCCATCTATCATATATTGACATATTGTGGTGCAGAGATGCAAACAGTTTTTTTTCCTGTCAGACATTGGGGCCTACAGGGTAGTAAGTTTTGCCAGACCCATCAAATTTTTGCCAGACCTATATTTTCACTCAAAAATAAAATGAGACGCTTTTGAATAATTAATTTTTATTTTGTTATATATTATTGTAATCTGTGATTCATATTCATAAACATTGTAGTTTATTCAATATATTAATACATAAATGATGACCCAAGAGTTATTCCTCACAGGAGTACTTTGACACAAGATAATCTAATTGTTCTTACGCCAATAATTGGCACAAGAACAATTAGATCAAAAACAAAGACAGTGGCAAGCTACATATGTACATCAAAACGAATAAATATATTCATAAATTAACTAAAATGAAGTGAAGAAAAAAACACTCTTAGAAAACTAAAATAATACTTGTTTTTGTTTAATTTACTTAAATGTGGTCATTAGGACATTAGTTGTCCCTTAATAGAACTTTTGGTTTTCAGTGCTTTTCAACTACATAAATGAGTTGACCATCTATTGTTCTAACTGTTCATGCACCACTGATGTGTCATATGGAGACGAAACTCGTTTTTTCATACTAACAATGTTCTCGTTATGGCGACTTATTGGTGCTATGGACGCATGGTTTTCTGTCTGGACGCGCCATTGCATGAACCGTGCGTCCGAGGAACGCGTCTGATAACACTTGCTGAGTCTTGTAATCATCAGAATTATCCCTCAGCTATCAAAAAGAAGCTGAAAACATGCTTCTACTCAATATTTTTACCTGAAATTTACTTTCGTTTTCATTGCTATGTGTAATAATAAATCCCGAGAAATAGGAAAATAATTATGATCACATGACTTACGCTAATTGGATAAACGCAAAGAAGATCGAAATATGTTTACATCAGCACGTTTAACTATTACCGGCAATAAATGTGTCATTAGAACTTTTGGTTTTCAATGCCTTTCAACTACATTATTAATTTGGAAGCCAAGGTTACAAGAACCAACAGAAATTTCAATTTTGACGGCCCCAAACAGTAAAAATATTTGCCGGTCATTGGGTCTGACACAAAGACGTCATTTGCCGGACCCTCTAAAATTCTGCCCCCCAGGTCCGACGATTAGTTGCAACACTGGTGGTGCTGGGTTTACTCATTAACTCCTTTTATTTAATTTTTTATTTTGATGCTATATAGAAATATAAATTGACCCACATGTCTAAATAGTGTGAAGGTTATTCAACTTCATTGTAAGTTCTGCATTTAAATAAAAGAAACATGTGTTTGAGAACATGAATGCCCCTGCTTAAGCTTGTTTTTCAAACGAAAATGGGACAGACGGAAAGACGGACAGTCAAGGTTATTACTTAACGGCCCTTTCTCCTTGCTACAGGGGCATAAAAATAAAAGTAAAAGTATCACAGTGACATCATATTTTCCAAACGGAAGACACTCTGAAATCGCTACTATGGTATGTTTAAATGGAACAGCCATAGTTTACCAATAAATTTCTCCTGAAAACAGATTTTTTTTACAATCTATACCAAAGTTTGGCATGGATATATATAAAGCTTGTGTGAGTAACTTACAGCACCAGCCTTGGCCTCTACCACTTCTGTTCCAGCATTCTGTATTCTCTCTGATAACTTCTTTCTCTCCTCCTGAAAAACAGTGTTACATGCAGTGATGAAAAAATAATTACTGCCAGAATCATGAAACATAACATAATAATGCATGTAGTGCATTAGTCTTCCCCCGTTTTTGGTGGGGTTCATGTTGCTCAGTCTTTGGTTTTCTATGTTGTATTTTGCGTACTGTTTTTTGTCTGTTTGTATTTTTTTTTAGTCCTGGCGTTGACAGTTCATTTTCAACTTATGAGTTTGAATGTCCCTTTGGTATCCTTCGTCCCTCATTCAATATTGTATGTTATTTAAGAGTAGTAATTTGTTTACAATATTAGCTTTAGTGGAAATTTAACTGTAATACAACAGGAATCAATCACAATTTATTTACTATTGCACTACCAGATATAATTTTGTGTTGCCTAATACATGTTTACCTGACAATTATATTTATAACTTATTTTAGACTGGACACTGAGGTGAAAATGTACAAGAGAGAAAGAAAATCATTGAAAAATCTTCATTTTAATCCTCTGATCACATGGACATTAGTACCATGCACTTCCTGGAAATTAACAATAGGTGTGACTTTTGAGATGACAGACATATATAATTGATATACAGGCGTTTACAGGTGGCAATTATACATTGGCTGTGGCTTTTGAGAAGACCTACAGATAGGTAAAATTGTATCAATATTACTTGAAAGTAGAAATGAAACATTGGATGTGGCTTGTGAGATGAAACAGATATCAATATTACTTACTGGTGGAAATGAATCAATGGGTGTGACTTTAGAGATGACAGACGGATAGGTTAATTGTTACTTACAGGGTGGAAATGAAACACTGGATGCCGTTTGTTTGAAGACAGATGGATAGGTGTAGTTGTTACTTACTTGTGGAAAGGAGACTATGGGTGAGGCTGGTGAAATGACAGACGGATTGGTGATATTGTTACATACTTGTGGAAATAAAAATCTGGGTGTGGCTTGTGAGATGACAGACAGGTGTCAATTTTACTTACTGGCGAAATTGAAACACTGGGTGTGGCTTATGAGATGACAGACAGGTGTCAGTGATACTTACTGGTGGAAATGAAACACTGGGTGTTGCTTGTGAGATGACAGGTATAATTGTTACTCCACTATGTCCACCCATAACTGGAACATTTAATTTAGATACATCCAATTCCTACAATGAAAACAAATTTACACTCTATTCACCTTAATTCATAATCATAATACAAAAGGTAAATATGCTTGATTGACAAAGATGTGCCATGTTAATATAAAAAGATTGTCTTAGTATAATACCACCTACTAATGCGACTACAATCTAAATTAATTTATATAGATAATATATATTACTATGATCATGTTAAAAGTATGGTCTTTTAATCATTATGTTCAGACTGATGAGTTTCTTTTTTTTTTTGGCTGCTCCTAGATATTCAACTTTAGAAAAAAATGACACAGAGTCAAAATGGAAATTGTTTATCAAATCATTGGTCAGGACAGAAATTGACTTTCCCTCTCTATAAGGCCTCCAGTTACATAACAGAAAACTGAGCACTACTCAATAATTTGTTTTAATTGTCAAAGGCTTGACTACACATTTAAATAGTCAACGCAGTACAAATTTTCTATAAGCTAATATGCAACCTTTGGCAAAACTACGAAATCAAATATCCACTAAAATACAATGTTTTTCTCCATTCACGAAAATAAATGAATCCACAGTATTGGTCAAATGTGTCAAATGAATGAATTCACTTGATGTGAAAAATAATATTCATAAATCAAATGAGTTATATATAAAACTTATACCTTAGCTTCTGCTACAAATGCATTTGATCTAACTATATCCAATGTTGTAACACCAAATAGACGTCTAGGATCATATACTCCTTTTTTCTTTAAAACCTCTGCTGCTATTGGCACTGTGGAATTAACCTTGGTAAGAAGGAAAAATCAAATATTACGAATAAATTTCTGCTTATACAACTACTTAACACTGTTTCTTATTTAATCAATATCAGAGATCTATTGGTCTCTTACTTGTGACTTCTTCTATCTTAAAAGTTAAAACCAATATCATATCAAATCTTCACTAAATTTTCTTGCAAGTGAGTTTTGTAAAAGTTTTTTTTGGAATTCAGAATTAGCTTTAGTCTCCCTTTATATGTGATCTTGCTGTTTTTCATTTTATATTTTTTTTTAACCTTTGACCATTTCATTATTTTAAGTTAAAACAAGAATGTGTCCACAGTACACGGATGCCCCACTCGCACTATCATTTTCTATGTTCAGTGGACCGTGAAATTGGGGGTCAAAACTCTTTTGCATTAAAATTAGAAAGATCATATCATAGGGAACAGGTGTACTAAGTTTCAAGTTGATTGGACTTCCAACTTCATCAAAAACTACCTTGACCAAAAACTTAAACCTGAAGCGGGACAGATGGACAAATGAACGGATGCACAGACCGAAAAACATAATGCCCCTAGGTGGGGCATGAAAAAAAAAATCCACAATTAAAAAACGTCTTGTTATTGGAATTGATGTATTTATTTTTGCCACATGAATCCCAATAATAAAGTGTTTGCATTCTTTCAATTAACATTACAACTTTTAGTAAATTTTGTACACAAAATGTGTTGAGGTGTCAGGGGTAGAAACACTTTTATCATGTTTATACTTACCGGGTTGGTAATGATACAGATCATTGCTTTTGGACAGAAATCTCCAATGGCTGACACTAAATCTCTGACAATTCCAGCATTTGTGTTGAACAGATCATCTCTTGTCATTCCTTCAACATTAAAACAATGATTTATTACTAGTAATTATAACATTACCACACTTCCTATTTAAAGGAACAATTATTAATAAAATAATGTCAGGTTCTAGTATGTTTGCTCATGACAATGTCACTCAATGTTCTAGTATACATGTGTAGTTTGGGAGTTTTCAACCATAGAAAATTGTCTCTATGTTGGATGTTAACGTTTAGAACCACTTTTTTCACCACCTTTTTGACTTTTATGGATAGTAGTTTAATTTAACTGGCAACCATACCACACCTCATAAGATTTCTTTTCATCATGTTCATGAGGTTATTTTGTTTCTATCCTGTCATCAGAGCATGTGCCTAGGGTAAATGAAATTGTGTACACATCTTAGAACCATATGGACATGCCACTACAAAGCATTTTGACAGTTTATTTGACACAATACACAGTTGCAATTCCAGTGTTCTCCCCAGGCCCTTAAAGGACCGCGGGCCCGCGATGTATAATTTTTGACCATGGTGGTATCGGTCTTACCGCGATATATAATTTTTTACCGTGGTGCTAAAATTTTCAGTAAAAAAAATCGTAAATCGGTAAAGTTTTAAGCGATTTGTTAAATCTTTTCCGTGCAGTATAAAATTCCAGGTGAAATTTGACCAGTTCAAACCAGTTTACCCAGATTGTTGACACCACATGATCGATTTACCTTATGAGGTTAACCTTGTTGATTGGATTTAATCGACGTAATTAACACTTGTTACATTATTCTTTTGTGTTTTAATTAGGAGTTCATAACTTTATGATCACTTATAACTATTTTATGGCTTCACTCACAACCCAAGCGCTGACCTGTGACAAGTCTGCAAATACTTTGTACACAGTGTGACCCGATACAGTTGCACACACGCCTGTACATTTTTTGTACATAATAAAGTTGGCTCATTAGTATAGTATAATATGTCTGCAGTGATATTGTTTGCCTCAAATTACAGCCGAAATTCGGCTTTTTCCCCTAGAGAAAATTCCCAATTACTCAAAAAAAATGGCTTAAAATTCCTCCCAAAAAGTTTTACATTTTCCCCAAACAGTGATGGCATTGGTAGTAATGTTTGTTTATATCGTATTCATGTTATTATTTTGATATAAGAAAGCACTTTTGAGATCCGGTTTTCTGATCAGAATCATCATGGTGTTTGTAACACATGTGGTTTTCAATGCATTAAGTACCATCATTGCTTCTGTTTCTTTCCCCTCTCCGAAAAGTATCTTTCAGGTTGAAAATGTCTGACAACCAAAATATACATGAAAACAACAGTGCAAAAAAGACAGCAAAGGTCAGCAAAAAATCGGAGATGTGTTTAGAATAAAATATACAAATTTCCCAATTTCAATAAAAAATATGCATTTTTCCCAATAAAAAACGGTAGAGGTAGTTTTGAAAAAAGACAACAATATCACTGGTCTGATTAAACCATGGCCAAAATTTTCTTTAATTATGACATAGTTAGTGCATGATGTCGAGTTTCAAACTATAGTATCTTTGAAGGGGACATATCACATGACCCAGTTAGTTCACGTAGAATATTAAAGTTTATTTGCAATTAATTGCAATCTATTCTATTTAATAAATAAAATGTATGACTGTACCTTCAAACTGGAAAACTATATCCACAATTAATGAATAACAGAAGTAATCTTGCAAATTTTATCCATAAGCACATGTTAAATCTATTTATATCTACTTCCTGTCATTTAGGTGGGAAAAATAGGGAGACTTTGTTGTTGACATTGAATATGGTTACTTATAGACCTAAGATAAATTTATAGATTTAGGAATTCTTTCTAAATGGATCATGACAAATAAAGATTTAGATTTCAGTGCAGTATTAAGTCTGTATCAATGTTTGATTATCACCAAAGACAAGAAAGGTTAATATTTACATGAAATCTATGGCAAAATGTTTTTAAATTTATGAAAAATTTCTTTTTTTTTTAAATTAAGATAGAAACTGGTTCAAACAATAAATCAATATTTGTTCTTGTTATTTCATATCTCCTTATGACAAGAATCCTTTCACATACAACAACTTTCTTTCTAGATACTATAAAGTTTTTTTTTAAATTGAACATTTTTGGTCTCCTTTGAATGATATTTTATTTTTATTGATCATGGATTTTATAAAAGATTTGATTACTTTAAATTTAGATGAATATTTTGTAATCAATCATGTTTTATTTATTTAAAAAAAATATTAAAGTATACAAACTGTTTATTGATTTACTTCTTTTTTTACCAATAATTTTCTGACTCAATGTCTACATAACACAACCACAGTGTTAACACAAAACAAGAGACATACTGCAGTAACTACAAATATAGCTAAGATAAGCTATGCGACACGACACAACTGATTGTATGAATCATTTCACCAAGCTGTCCACACGCGTTACCCTGGTGCTATCCAAAAATCCTGGGGAGAACACTGAATTCCTTTAAATTCTTTAATTAATTACGTCTATAAATATTTTTTTTATTTCCTTATTCAAGTTAAAATGAAGTTGAAAACCTTGTCAGGGGAAGAAAATTCCCAAATTATCATCTATTTGTTATTCACTATTGCAAATAAATATGTCTTAAATGTACATTTGTATGGTTGTACAATAATCCTTCACAAACCTGGTTTTCTTGGAACACCGGCTGGTATCAATACAACACTTGCATCTGTCAGACATGCTTCCAATGATGCTGGACCAAGATGACCACTGACTACTGCCCTCGTGTCAATATGACTTAAATCAGCAGCAACACCTGGTGTGTGAGCAATATCGTATAACGACAGACTGGCTATTTTTGCTGAATTTTTTAGAAGTAAAGATAAAGGTTGACCAATACCACCACCGGCTCCAAGAACAGCAACTTTTGGAGACTGCCAAGCCTAAAAGAAATTCATTGATGATATATATATATATTCTGAAACTGAACTGATAATAATGAATACTAGTTATAACATACACATGGAACAATTTAACATAACAGCTCATTCATGTATATTCCTGATATGGAATAATTGAATATTGTAATTGTTATTAGCTTTAATTTAATACATTTTTTTAACATGTTTAAGATGGATATTTGTCTCATTGGCAACCATGCAAGCTTTTGAAAAAAAAATCTATAGTTTTTCTTAAATTTTTGTATTAAAAGATGAGATCTTAATATATTTCAAATTTGAGATAATTCCTTGAAAAATAAAAAAGTTATTAGTATTTTTATTTGGTCCTGTCATTGTCAAGGTTGGTCCTTTTCATTGTCAGCGTTGGTCAGAACAGGTTTTCAAGAGCTTTAAAAAAAAATCTATATTTTTTTCTTATAATCTATGTATTAAATAATGAAATCCTATTTTATTTCAAATTTGAGATAAATCCTTTGAGAAATAAAAAAGTTATTAGCATTTTTCATTTTGGTCCTGTCATTCGCTCCAGTCATTAGTGTAACCCGTACCAATATTGGCAATAACCTTCAGGATCAGCTGTTCATGTGCTCATCAGGTAGCAACTGTCTCATATTACAAATAAAGAGACATTCATATGCTGCACACTCTACTAAAAATTAAGGCAGAACATTTTCGTGTGATGTGAATCAGGATAACTTGGCTTGTCTTGATGATCAGGATGTGATAATTCTGCATCATCAACAGACAGCAACTGTCAAGGATATGCATTTTTACACGTGTTTTAATTCCCGTTTAATGTTTGGCAACCATTTGCATTTGATTTATACCTGTGAAGTTTTGCAGAATGACCTGCTAACAAAAAATGTGACAGTACTCGGTTTTGCTAGCCTTGAAAACATTTTATAGTATTCTTAGCACTTTAGCCGGTGTCCTTGCTGAATGACAGGAAGTGGAAATGAAAAGTTGCGACATGCGTACGAAAATTTTAAGATTTATCCGCACTTGACGACCAAACTGATGTCTGAAAAATAGTTTTGATGGATTGATGATATGTTTGTAAATAATTTTGAGATCAAAATGTAGATGAAAAATAGATACTTGTTTTTTTCTGGTATTGGTGTTCAATATTAATGAACAAAAACGAGATTGTTATGTAGAATTATATTTTATGCGCAATAACATTTGTATATTTTCGGCGTGCTATGTCTTGACATGTGAATAAAGCCAAAATACAGTAGACGGTCAAAATGGGAGATGGAAGGGAAGAATACAGTGATAAGCATGAGTTCGCAAATCAGTGTACCGAAAATCTAGAGTTGTTGGAGCCTACTGATTTATACAACTTATTGCAGCAATCTACTGTATATTCCAATTTAAGTGACCCAAACTTTCTGCTACTTATAGGTAAGGTTGTGTAAAAACTAAAATCCAGGTCTGTCCCCCTGCGGCCACGAATCTGGGTCTATTAGCCAAAGTAACTGTTCGCCCTGGGTCCAATCGCCCTATTTTTTATTTTTTTTGAATTGTTTGAATAATGGTTATAATTTGAATAGAGTATGTTAAAATTTGTGGATCTCACATATTAGCGACAAGAAGACTAATTTAGCGCCAATAAATCTTAATAATAATTATTTAGAATAAATAAAAAATAGAAACATGCATTAAGGCTGTTATTTTTTTAAACATAAGTGTACTTTCATTACAGTACTTATGTAGTCGGAAGGGTTGACATGTCAAAGATTCAAACCAAATTACATGAATTATAAGATAAACTTAGTCTAATATTTATTTATTTCATTAAGAATCCCCCAAAGACAATTGATACAACAATCAGTTAGATCAGAAACATCATACATGTAACTATGAACATTAAATGCTCCAAAACAAGCGTAATTTTTTAGATATTTCCTTGTTTTTTCATGAATTTTGAGAAATATATATATTTTGTTTAATATTTACCATATAGATACAGTCGTGTCCAGTAATTCCGTCCGTCTGGTAACTCTGCCTCTTTACTTCCGTGTGCATCCCTTCTGTAAATATTTCGTCTGCTATATTACTTCAAGTCAAAAGGAGACAATGCAATTTTTAAATCTATGGAAAGCCAAAATAATAAAAAATAAAATGTTTTTCTTAAAGTTCCTGTATCTTTAATAATTATCTATAGAAAAGTTTGACATAAGCTTTCTGTATCTTGATGGTTTTTTTTCAATTGAAAAGTAAAAGAAAAAATAAAATATATTAACTCTGAAATAAAATTGTGGCTTATATTAAAACCACTATATACTGCACAGACTTTATTGTGCTGTGTATATATATATTGCATGTAATGTTTGCTTTGTTTTCATAAATAAATAGATATATGTTAATACAATATAGTTGTGTTAGGCTACCATTCAGGATAAATAGTTAGCATAGGGGCCTAAAGTTTTTCAAGTGCAAAAACTCTGTTGTATTTTCTTGCTGTATATAATTCTAAATTTAATATAAAAGTTTTTCAGTCTATTTTTCAATTCAAGTACATTAGAAAGCTTTTCTTCTAGCTTGGATTTGTATTTTTGGCAAAAATAACAAAAAAATTTAAAAATAAGCTTTCTATAACTACTAAACCTAGAAAAAAGTTTTTTTTGTTGAACTCATTGTTTACAAAGAAATTTTTCAGGCAAACACAGAACAAAGCTAAAAATCTTGATGTCACTTGACAATCATAAAATGTCCAATAGTTTCATCTTCACATCTACAAAAAGAACATAACTTTGTGTCTTTGATTTTTATTTTAAATAAAAATGTTTTCTGCTCTTTGGTCTGGTTGTTGTCTCTATGACACATTCCCCTTTTCCATTCTCAATTTTATTTTGCCAGTGTTCAATGTTAGTATGCAGCTCATCCTGCCAGTTGGAAAATTTTACAACTGGAGGATGTGCACGTTTTACCATAAGATTATTATATATGAATTTGATATTTTTGCTGCTGGTAATTTGCTCCAGTATTATCATGTGGAGTAAAATTATCTAAATTAGTATCAGTGTTTTCCCTAATACACTGTTTTACCTCCAGAGGGATATTTGATATCAAACTGTAATAGCGCATAAAATTATTTGTCTGAACTTTTTGTTTGATTAATCTGATCAAATGCAAGAAAGTCTCTCCTTCAATAGTGAACTATGTGACATTTTTTGCACACCAGCAACTTCCCATTTCTCAATTTCAGCTATGAAAGATATTTATCTTTTCAACTATAATAGTAAATGTGATATTATTTATATATTGACAAGAAATGAGATATTTTCCTTATCAAATGGGTTGGTCAAATTACATACCAGTACTTATAATATTATGTACATCTGATGATACACAATATTCCAATCCTTCCTGCTTTAAAAATCCTTGATATAATATAAATGACAGTTTTTTTTTATATTTTATTTATTTTTTCAATAGTCAGGGTTTTACATCGATCACCCTTTTAACACCACCTGACTAAGGTGTCACAGGGTTTTCTATGAATGAAAAAAATGTTTCTTATTTGGTTTTCAGTTGATAGTTCTCATTGGCACTTTCATTTGACAAGCCAATATATGTCAAAAATTATACATGTTTTCTTGTTTTATCATTTGTACCTGTACTGTTGTACTAATTTCACTTTTACTTGTCTTTGAACAAAGTTGTCATTTTTTTTTGGGGGGGGGGGGGGGGATTGAATTGATATTAACAAATATGCTTATTTCTGAATCCAATGGTAAAAAATTAATTTAATTATTTTGATTAAAATTGAGAATGGAAATGGGGAATGTGTCAAAGAGACAACAACCCGACAAAAGAGCAGAAAACATCCCAAGGCCACCAATGGGTCTTCAACACAGCAATAAAAAATCCCGTACCCGGAGACGGGCTTCAGTGAAAATGGATGTCAAACTAAACTCCGAAACATATAAATGAACTAAAATTAAAAAAATATACATAAATTTATATTGTATGTGGATTATATATTTTTTTTTACAATAAAATATTATTTACACTTAACCATGTGTTAACAGTAGTGTAAATGCAATGAAGATAAAACCATGTATACATGAAAAGAGAAAAAAAGCAAAAGAGTTATTTTGAAAAATGTACAACAAATGTATTGAGTTTTGTCAGTGTTGATATGCTCAAAGATTTCATTATGTTTTAATTTGATATTTTGTAATTTAAAAAAAGGAACAAACTTTAATTAGTTTCCCTCAATTCATCCTTGTTTTGAAAAATACTAGAATTTCAATAGTATTTAAGACTACCATGAAAATTTCACTTAAACAGTATTGATCTTTGAGGAGTACACACAGCACAACCTGCCAGGCTGGCCCACACTACTTCAGAATCATAGGGTGAAGTGGTTAGACTTAAAAGACATGTGCTCTTACCATTGCAATAACGTTTGGTTTTTACAATGATATATAAGAGAGGCGAAAGATACCTGTGAGAGGGACATTCAAACTCATAAGTAGAAAAATAAACTGACAACGCCATGGCTAAAAACAAAAAAGACAAACAGACAAACAAAAGTACAAAAAACACAACATCAGTGTAACACCACTAAGTCGGGCCCGGCTAGAAAGCACATACCAGAAAGTAGTACATATTTAACACAAAATAGTTCCTAAGTATACGCATGGGTGTAACTTTCAAAATATGTAGAATATTTCGGCAATTTTTGTATCAAATGAAAGCTGAATGACTGGTGATCATTGTAGAACACTTTTTGATTTATAAGTTTAAATAATAAAAAAATTGCATGATATTTTAAAAAGAGGGTACATTTTGCCTGTTTGTCAGATCTGGAGTACCTGTTTTGGTACATCCGAGGTTCCGGGAACCAGTTCTTTCTTATATGCCATTAAAGGTATGTTGATTTTTTTTAGTACAAGGCACCATAAAGTGTTGCTTTGACATGCAATGATTGTCACTTTATTTGAACTTAAAACAAAAGAGTTGTGCCTGCTTGAAATTAAGGAATTTAACATAGAAAGCAATGGGGCCATGAATTAGTGGTGTACTTCCTTGTGATTTGTATTCTTTTTTTTTTTGTATTGTTCCCACAATTTTTTGGGCTGATTCTAGAAAGTTGTATCCTCTGCAAATTTATAATATATCTGACTTCAATGAAGGCTCATGTCTGTTTTTATATATATAAAATTGAGAATGGAAATGGGGAATGTGTCAAAGAGACAACAACCCGACCATAGAAAAGACAACAGCAGAAGGTCACCAACAGGTCTTCAATGCAGCGAGAAATTCCCGCACCCGGAGGCGTCCTTCAGCTGGCCCCTAAACAAATATATATACTAGTTCAGTGATAATGAACGCCATACTAAACTCCAAATTGTACACAAGAAACTAAAATTAAAAATAATACAAGACTAACAAAGGCTAGAGGCTCCTGACTTGGGACAGGCGCAAAAATGCGGCGGGGTTAAACATGTTTATGAGATCTCAACCCTCCCCCTATACCTCTAGCCAATGTAGAAAAGTAAACGCATAACAATACGCACATTAAAATTCAGTTCAAGAGAAGTCCGAGTCTGATGTCAGAAGATGTAACCAAAGAAAATAAACAAAATGACAATAATACATAAATAACAACAGACTACTAGCAGTTAACTGACATGCCAGCTCCAGACTTCAATTAAACTGATTGAAAGATTATGTCTTCATCATATGAATATCAGGCACAATCCTTCCCGTTAGGGGTTTAGTATCATACCATCATAACATATATGAGAAGAACATAACCCGTGTCATGCCAACAACTGGTTTTTAAAAAAAATGTGTTTAGTGCCGATGCAAAGACCCTATAAGTGAATCAATATTAACGCCAAAATATGCAATCTTTAATGACCTGACAACAGTATCGTAACTATATCCCTTCTTAATAAGTCTATTTAAAGGTTTTGTTAGCTTCAGAGGTGAATACTGACATTTTTGTGCTTTATAAAGAATATTTCCATAAAAAATTGGATGTGAAATACCTGAACGTATAAGAAGTCTGCATGTTGAGCTATATTTACGAATGATGTCCTTATACCGATGATAAAATTTAGTAAATGTTTTGACTAGTTTGTGATATCGAAAACCCTGGTGTAATAATTTTTCAGTAATACATAAATTTCTCTCGTTAAAATCTAAAATATTGTTACATACACGAGCGAATCGTACAAGTTGAGATATATAAACACCGTAAGATGGTGACAAGGGAACGTCACCATCTAAAAATGGATAATTAACGATAGGAAATGAAAAATCATCTCTTTTATCATATATTTTAGTATTAAGCTTTCCATTAATGATATAGATATCAAGATCGAGGAAAGGGCAGTGGTCATTGTTAGTATTAGCTTTATTTAAAGTAAGTTCAACAGGATAAATTTCTTTAGTATACATACTGAAGTCGTCATTATTGAGAGCCAAAATATCATCCAAATATCTAAAAGTATTATTAAATTTGTGTATCAGATGTTGTTTCGATGGGTCTTTGCTGATTTTTGTCATAAATTGTAACTCATAGCAATACAAAAAAAGGTCCGCAATAAGTGGTGCACAGTTAGTCCCCATTGGAATTCCGATAACCTGACGATATACGGAATCTCCAAAGCGAACAAAAATGTTATCTAGTAAAAATTCAAGGGCATATATAGTATCAAAGCATGTCCAATTGACATAGTTTTTTTGTTTATTGCTACTAAAAAATGACCTAAAAGAGTTAGAACATATATATTCACATTCTGACTTTTTAAATGCCCATTTAATTAGGTGTGTGAATTTTTTCTTAATGAGAATGTGAGGCAATGTGGTATATAGGGTAGAAAAATCAAAACTTTGAACATGCCTCCTTTGATCTCCTACTGGTGTAGTTTAAACAGTAGTCCTTTTCTTCATACACTATACTAGATTTTTTCAAAACCAATCAAGACAGCCAATGTCATTTCATCATTGAAGGACATATCCATAATTATAATTGATTGGGTGAAATTTTACAAAGGCTATTTTTATAGAACAAAACTTGTAATTAGCTTCTGTTTCATTCAAGAATGAATAATTTCCCCTACATCATATGTTACGGAATTCTGAACCCTGTGTCATACATGTATGTATATGAATTTCTGGATCCTTTATCAATTATTTATAAATCAAACCCTGAATGGAAAGACATTTTGGCCTTAATTGATTTGATTGTAACATTGAATATATGTATGCACACAATATAAAAATTTTTTTTTTTTTTTATTTCAATAGATGCAAGAGACAAGAATGAATACAATGAGAGTCATGTTGTGACGGCGAAAAAGGCACAAAAGGTAAGTCATAAACAACAAAACATTGTTATACATGTAGATCCATCTTGTGACAGCTAAAAAAAAGTAAGAAATTACAATTAAAATGTACATTTGTAAAGCATACACATTGATCTATTGTTTTGACAGATATAAAAGTACAAAACTAAGTAAATCATAAACATTGATTCATGCCTTGGCTCAATTGACTGCTACGAAAAGTACAAAACTAGGATAAATCATAAACATTGATCCATGCCTTGACTCAATTGACTGCTACGAAAAGTACAAAACTAAGTAAATCATAAACATTGATCCATGCCTTGACTCAATTGACTACTAAGAAAGTACAAAACTAAGTAAATCATAAACATTGATCCATGCCTTGACTCAATTGACTGCTAAGAAAGTACAAAACTAAGTAAATCATAAACATTGATCCATGCCTTGACTCAATTGACTGCTAAGAAAGTACAAAACTAAGTAAATCATAAACATTGATCCATGCCTTGACTCCATTGACTGGTAAGAAAGTACAAAACTAAGTAAATCATAAACATTGATCCATGACTCGACTCCATTGACTGCTTAGAAAGTACAAAACTAAGTAAATCATAAACATTGATCCATGACTCGACTCCATTGACTGCTTAGAAAGTACAAAACTAAGTAAATGATAAACATTGATCCATGCCTTGACTCAATTGACTGCTACAAAAGTACTAAACTAAGTAAATCATAAACATTGATTCATGCCTTGACTCAATTGACTGCTACGAAAGTACAAAACTAAGTAAATCATAAACATTGATCCATGCCTTGACTCAATTAACTGGTAAGAAAGTACAAAACTAAGTAAATCATAAACATTGATCCATGCCTTGACTCAATTGACTGCTATAGCTACGAAAGTACAAAACTAAGTAAATCATAAACATTGATCCATGCCTTGACTCTATTGACTGCTAAGAAAGTACAAAACTAAGTAAATCATAAACATTGATCCATGCCTTGACTCAATTAACTGGTAAGAAAGTACAAAACTAAGTAAATCATAAACATTGATCCATGCCTTGACTCAATTGACTGCTACGAAAATACAAAACTAAGTAAATCATAAACATTGATCCATGCCTTGACTCAATTAACTGGTAAGAAAGTACAAAACTAAGTAAATCATAAACATTGATTCATGCCTTGACTCAATTGACTGCTATGAAAGTACAAAACTAAGTAAATCATAAACATTGATCCATGCCTTGACTCCATTGACTGGTAAGAAAGTACAAAACTAAGTAAATCATAAACATTGATCCATGAGTCGACTCCATTGACTGCTTGGAAAGTACAAAACTAAGTAAATCATAAACATTGATCCATGACTCGACTCCATTGACTGCTAAGAAAGTACAAAAGGTTAATCATCAAATGTCAATGCAAGTAACCATTGATCCATGTTGTAACAGCTATGAAAAAAATGAAAATTAACAGTGATCCATATTATGACTAAGAAAGCACAATTTTAATGTAAATAAAAACCAAGGATTAATGTTTGTGACCTCACTAAAGATCAAAAGAAAAAGCTGAGCTGTAATGTTTTGTTATGATTATCTCAGAACTTACATGTATTGCCAAATTGTTTCTTTATTCATTACTAAATCTCATAATAAAATTAATGAAACTATAGATTTTTCATTAAACTTCCATGAGTCAATTTTCAAATATGATATTTGCAGGATAAAACAGGTCATTTTATGGTGCCATACGATGGAGAATTAGAATGTAAACAGAATGTTGTTGTGTATGATAGTAAAACATCAACCCTTAGAGAAGAAGATTTTCGTAAGTACTCAATGTGTTAATTGTGAATGGAAATCTGAAATTATTTGCTTTTCGAAGTCATGGCATTTTTAGACTTGCAGGACATTTACTGAAATATTTGAAATATGAAATCCAATTGACTGAATAATAGTGGCATTTGTCCTTTTTTATTTCATTATTGATGTGCTAGTGATTTGGGTGCTTAATTAAAATATTTATTTTTAAATAAATTCCAAAACAAAAAATTTTATGAGTGATGGGAAAATCTATGTTAAAATATATTAGGAATATTTTCATTTGAGGAAAGCATATCCTTGTCTCACATACATACATATTTCTTTTTCTTTTTAAACCTATGTTTTAGCTCCTGCTTTACTTTGTGGTATGAGAATGTGGGATAATGGCAGCAGAAATAAAGTGAAAATCTTAAAAGGTAATTACATTTATTAAAGTGACGTATACAAATTATCTCCCTTTACAGGAATATAATTATCATTTTTGTGAACAGGTTTCCAATTTTAAGGATGTTCTATGAATACCTTGTACAGTTTTATTTTAAAACAGGAGGTATATGTACATGTACACTTATCTCTAATCAGTAGTATAGATGGGTAAAAGTACAAGAAAAGCCCTCTTAATGAAAGGTCTGCTTTATTTACTTGCACACTGCTGTTGCATATTTTATTTATAAATCTCTTTAATGACTAGTCTGCGATATTTTGTTGTAGAAGTGAGACATAGTGATCCTACATTCTGTCGGCATCTGTAACATTTAGATTCAGTCTTAGATTAAAGTTTTTTAAACATCAATATTTTGTAAAACTGCATGGAATTTTATGAAACATTTACAGAGCTTTTTTTATGATCAAAATACAGTATCCACAGCAACATTTGGTATTTTTTTTCCTTTTCCTTTTTCCATATTTTATTGATGAAAGTCCTTTAGAACTTTATTTTTTTGTAATTAACATTAAGATTCCAACTAAGTTTAAGTTTTTCAGACATCCATAACTTTGTCAAACCTTCAAGCAGTTTTATCAAACTTTGACATTGCTTATTTATGATCAAAATACAATAGCCACAACAAAATTTCCAAATTTTGTTTCTGCATTTTTCCATATTTTGTTGATAAAAGGTCTTCAATTGTTTTGTTAGTAAACATTTAGATACAGCTTGAGGTTAAAAGTTGTTTAGACATCATAATTTTGTCAAACCATTGGAGAATTATATGAAACTTTGGCTGAATTTTCTTTTTATGATTAAGAGTTATGTCAGAATTAAAATTTTGAAAAATTATTTTCCCTTATTGTATTTCACTGATAAGTGAACTAATTTTTTATGCGGTTAACATTTAGTTGCTGTCTGGGATTACATATTTTAGACATCACTAACATTGACAAAACCTTCATGGAAAAAAGTGTGATTATTTTTAATCTTATTAATGTAGTTTACTGATAAATGGACTAAGTTTTTGGTAACCAGCATTACACTTTTACACTGACAGCAGCAATGACAGGCTGGACACAGGTTTCTGTGGAGACCTTTACAATTTAAAAAAAAGACATATGTTTATTAGATAAGGATCACAAGTTAGTAACTAATAAAATTGAGAATGGAAATGTGGAATGTGTCAAAGAGACAACAACCCGACCAAAGAGCAGAAAACAGCCAAAGGCCACCAATGTGTCTTCAACACAGCGAGAAAATCCTGCACCTGGAGGTGGGCTTCAGCTGGCCCCTAAACAAAAAAGTGTACTAGTTCAATGAAAATGGACGTCACACTAAACTCCAAAACAAATAAATGAACTAAAATTAAAAAAACATACTAGACTAACAAAGGCCAGAGGCTCCTGACTTGGGACAGGCGCAAAAATGCGGCGGGGTTAAACACGTTATTTGAGATCTCAACACTCCCCCTATACCTCTAGCCAATGTTACCAAGCATAGAAAGGTAAACGGACAGAAAGTCACAGGACAAAAAGTCACAGGACATAAAGTCACAAATTTGATAGGACAAAAAGTCACAGGACAAAAAGTCACAGGACAAAAAGTCACAAATAATTTGTTGACAATTGTTTGAATATATAAGAGAAAGATCTTGAAATATTTTCTTTTTATTACATATATTCATTTTTAAGTTTAGGAAATTGTTCATAAGCCTTGATAAATGAAAATTTATTAAATTTTAATCATGCAAAGGATATATTTCTTGGGTTTACTCCTGGTTTGCCCACTTTTAATTATATCAATTATCTATCAGTAAAGAAAACAAAAAAGACAAAAGGTTTAATGAGCATACAATTGTATAGTCTGTTCCAACTTAGGTATATAGTTTATTAGTGTTTCTTTATATTCAAGTATTTTTTTTATTTTGTAATTCCATTTTCATTTGTATAGAAAAATAATAAATAAATCAAATATTTTTTTCTCAATAATTTAATATCAATTCAATCGATTCATTTAACAAACATGTACAACTAATGACAAAACAATGAGATTCAGTTATAAAAGTGTCTTTATAATTCATTAGTTTCTGAATGATTTTCATGATATAAATACACCAATGCAAGTTCTCTTTTATTGCAAACATAATATATATAATATATGAATCAAGTTTATAAATACATTGCATAAGGAAATAAATAAAGCACTATGGTAAAATAAGTAATTTGGGGCTCTATATGTATAGTGATGGGAAATACAATCTTTTATATATACATCAAAAGTCACAAAACATTATATTTAAAAAGTCACAAATTACAATATTTCACTTAGTTGTTCAGTTCAAATGGAGAAGATGGGATGCTGCGTCAGAGTAGTCTACAACGTTGATGAGTCCTTGTTGGTATCTGTCTTTCAGTAGTAGGAGTCTGGTGTCTATTACTCTGTATCTTCGTCTTTTTGGTGTGCGGGCTCCTCCTGCTGCATACTGGATAATATTACATTCTGTTAGTTCCTGGGTCTTCTTCAGTAACTCAATGATCTCGTAGATGTTGGGGTGGGCATGTTGGAGTCTCTTCTTAAGTTTGTTAATTAGCTATTTGTTAGAATCAATTGGATATTTTTTTATGTTAAATTTCAGAACAGCGTATTTATTAAAAATTTGAAAAAACTAAGTTGAATAAATAAAAAGAAATTCAAATGACATTTATTCTAATCTTTAGTCTCGTTATTTTACTTTTTTTTTTTTTTTTAAATGTACCAATAATTAAAACTATTTGTTGATAAATTGTAAAAATAATAAACATTTTTGTACACATTTTTCCCTATTTTTTTCCCCTTCTTTTTGTCAAATTAAATACATTTTCCTGCTAAAAACTATATCAAATATAGAATATTTTTGCACATTTTCCTTGATTTAATAGCAGAATATAGTATCTTTTATAAAATTTTACAGGTAAAATAAAAGGTAAAAAATATGACTATAATTCAGAAATAAACTATAATTGTTAAAACAACAATTCCCCCTTTGTTTACATATGCATGTAATTAAAAGTGGGCAAACCAGGATGACACCATTTCTTGGCACAATGAAGCCATTTAAGTACAAAGCCACCTTGACATTTTGTTTTCATAACAATTATTTGATCATTATTGATATTTATTGAATAAATGTTAATTACAAAGTTGCTTCGTATATAATAGTTCAAGAAAAAACAAAACTTTTATTTTTTAAATTAGTGTTTTCTTGTTTAAAGAAAAATAATCTCAAAACTGAATTGTGACTTTTTGTCCTGTGACTTTTTGTCCGTGACTTTTTGTCTGTGACTTTTTGTCCTGTGACTTTCTGTCCTACATTCGCATAGAAATAGTTTGTACACTTTAGAATGCTTATTATATATACTGATAACAATTACAATAAATTTGATTAAACTGTTAACTTGTTTTCATGCAAAATAAAAGCTAATATTTATGAGAAGATGAATGGATTTGACTATGAATTTAAAACCAAACCAAGTGAAAGTTTCTTTCTCAAAAGTGTTAAAAATGAGTTTTACTTACAAAAGCCTTTTTTTGGGGTAATGTAACAGTTCTTTGACTATATGCATGTTTCTTTTTTAGGTGGATATGAGGAATTTTCAAAACTATATCCATTTTTAAGAACACAAAAGATAATGTTTATGCCTAAGGTAAGGAACTTTCTTTAATGAATGAAAATTTAAACACACAGCATAGAAAAAGCTGCAGATTGCATTAGTTTTGAGTCATTTTTTTTACCCAGAAATTTTTATAATCCCGCTTTAAAAAAGATTACTGTCAAGTATTTGGGCGGGGGTATCATCAGTGAGCAGTAGCTCACAGTTTCACTTGTTTTTTTTAATTGCATGCAACTTTATTATTTCATTTACCAATCAGTGCTTGTAGACTGCACCATATTCTACGCTATGAAAGATTATCACAAATATCCAGTTCAAACTTTGACAACAGATCATTCTCTAATACATTCAATGCTGTATAAAGTTATGAGTTAATGGAAATAATCCTGCTCTTCAAATATTTTCAAAAGAGAGCTATAATCAGCAAAGGCTCATACTGTCCTTGAGAAGGAGATACCCTAGAAAAATTCTACATCTACTGAAAAAAAACAGCAATTCTTCTAACCATAATTAACAATTGATGATTCGTCTTACTTGGTTTTTTTTTGTATCTGTACACTTATGATTTAATCACTTAATACAGAAAGAATAGGTTTAACAATATTACACCATTATGGACATTGTCAGGAACCTTATGTTTAGTGGTTGTCGTTTGTTGATGTGGTTCATAAGTGCTTCTCGTTTCTCATTTTTTTTAGATAGATTATACTGTTGGTTTTTCCGTTTGAATGGTTTTACACTAGTCATTTTTTGGGTCCCTTTATAGCTTGCTGTTCGTTGTGAGCCAAGGCTCCATGTTAAAGGCTTTACTTTGACCTATAATGGTTTATTTTAACAAATTGTGACTTGGATGGAGAGTTGTCTCGTTGGCACTCATACCACATCTTCTAATATTTATCATAATTAACATCTTTTTTAGTTTCTTTCAAACATATAAAATGAATGAACAACATTTATACATGAAAAGAAATTACAAATGTATATATGCCCTATTTTTCTGAAGCCATCTTTTCGATTGAGGTGTTTCTGATCTGTGTACTGTACATTCTTTAAACACCAGTCCTTATTACAGTTCTGAACAAAATTTATGAAAAAAGAAAGGATGGGTATTTCCACTTTTATATTATGTAAAAACACTCAGTAAATTAATTGCTAAAAATGGCTTATGTCATCTTTTAACTCTGAAAACACTGTTTTTTTATATATAGGAAATGGATGAAATAAAACCATATCCAATAGAAGTTATACCAGGTCTGTTGTACTTTGGGAACTGGAAACAAGGCAATGCTGAATACATCCAGAAAGATCTTAAAATCAAAGGCCATGTCAACTGTTGTGTAGAGGCTGAAACATTGTAAGAACATTCACTTAATGAAAATGCTTGATTTACAATGGTCATCAGTAATCAGTTAAATAGATTTATTGTTATTTTGAAAATAAATTAATCCAACTTGATAATAGCAATTCATAAGTTGAACTCCTATGAGACAAAAAATTCAACTTATCTATATATATTATAATGTACATGATGAATTTTCATCATTAAAAAATGTTTTAAATATCGAAAATATGCTTAACCATTTGGTCATAATTTTTTAAAAACATAATATTTAATGGGCAATCATTGAAAATACAACATTTTTTGTGAAGGTTCAGTCCTTAAAGTTGTAAAAAAGGCCGTCAAAGAAAAATGTATCAACAGTATAAATATACAAAGTTATAATGTTAGACTTCTACAGCAAATATTCATTCGAGATTTTTCGCTGTGTACTTAATTTATTCTTTAGTATTTTGTGTGATAAAACAGAAAAAACATCAATAATATTAATTGAATTTTCTCAACTTAAGTCAACAATGTTTCTTAGTTTTTATTTGAACCAATATTCATATATTTTTTTTTTATTTCCAGTTTTTCAGAGCCTGGTCCACATTTATTACACTGTCAAGTATCAGATGACAATGATGCTGATTTATATAGTAAATTCCAAACAGCCTGTCAGTTTATAGGTAAGGAGAAGTTATCTAGTATTCAACATTTATATACAATGCTTGGAGGATAGGATATATAACAATCTTCAATTGTTTTCCTCTATCCAATTGTAAACTTCTGAACGCTTACTTAGGGCTGTTCCAAAATTGATCGTGGTGAGTGGATGGGAGGCACTGAAATTAATTAATTGTGTGGTTGCATTTTCCTTAGAATTTTGAAAGAGTTATAAGTACATCGAAAACTTTATTTTATAGGTGGTGGTTGGGGTATAAAAAAAGTGCCTTCCATGCCCCTTATACGTTTAATTGTGAAATAGCCCTTACTATTTCTCAATTAAAGAGTAATTGCCAATAAAACATGCTGAGTTCCTTTTATATAATTAGAGAATGTTCAAAAGTATTTTAAGAAATAATGAAATACTTATTTCAGACATGCCTCAATAAGTTTTACAGGCAATTTAGTTGATGACTTTTGTGAATTATCTCCCTTGTTTATGAAGAAAAAAAGAGGTTGGATATATGTCAAGGAGACGGCAACCCAATGAAACAAAAAATAACAAGCTGTAGAGGTCAACAGATGAAAATCTGGACATGGTTGTGTTCAGAATCGAACTGAATTCAACAGACAGTATGGAAATTTAGACCCTCTCTTGCTGTATTAAATGTTTTATGAATTGTGTTGGTCTGGACATAGTTTAGCACCTTTACATAGTGAAAACTGGTACCTAAGAATGACATATCTGGATTTAAAAAATCTTGTAGATCTAAACAGAACTGATAAAAGATATTGGAAGTTCTATTTTAAATCATATATAGAATGTCAGGTTTGGAAGTACAGTCAAACCTGTATTAAGCAGTCACTCTTGGGAAGTATCAAAAGTGAGCGCTCAAGAGAGGTGACCTTTAAATTGAGGTTTTGAATTATATGTATTTCAATTCTGACATCGCCTGAGGCCAGGAACGGGGCAAAGTGTTTAAGTGTTTTCAATCTGTATAGTTATCTTAATTGCGGCAGTGAAATAAAAAATGGCGGATTCTGGCGCTGTAAATTTGAAGAAAACTTTTGAAGTATGTTTATATTCTTTGAGAATTAAGTCGATATGGTTTTTAATGGAAATGGACAGGTGTGGAACACGAGGAATTCACGAATTCATCTCCCATTGCGTGAGCTCTGTTGCAAACGTGTTCCGATTTTCATTTTGACTTTGATACTGAAGGAATATATTTTTCTTCATGATTATTAAGTTAGTTAAAAATATTAAAATGACTGTTGTTAAAAGTTGAAATGACGATTTTGTATAAAAGTTACATAACCACTGACTGTGTATGACAGGTGACAGCTGAAACGAGTTAAATTATATAGAGAAAATGTTTGGAGGTGTCTGAAAGTGACCGTTAGAGGCAGGTGACCTCTTTAACGAGGTGATCGTTAAGGCAGGTTTGACTGTAACTGTAAACTTGTGAATTTGTATCTACATTTTTTGTACATTAAGCATTTGCCTTTAAATCATTAATAATTTTATCATTTTTATAGATACTCACATAGAAAAGAATGAAGCTGTCCTTGTATTCGACAACTTAGGAATAAGCCGATGTGTTACAGTTGTGGTAGCTTTTTTAATGCGCCATTTCAAGAAAACATTAGAGGTATGTAATAATATTACTTGCACAAAAAAAAAACGACTGTGTGAGTCCCTATTTCTGGAAAGTTGTTTTAGTGTTGATAAACAGTGATATAACCCTATTAATTTTTTTCTTTCAGGAATTGAAACTAAAGCTAGGTTTATTCTCATGTGTAATTAATATAATTATCATGGTATAATAACCGTTATCCATTTTACCCTCGGTCCAATGTGTCCGAGCATCTTCAGTAGACTTAATACATATTGTAAATTTTCTGATTTTTTTTTTCCAGAGTTGTGGATCTTTAATTATAAAAAAGTAGTATAAGGTGCATGCGACACAATATCTTATGACAACCTCCCTTTAGTACCTTTTAACCTTGAAAACTATTATATTTCTTCATCCAGTAGTATGAGATTCAGTCTTATCATTAAAATCCAACAATTGAAGAATATATCACAAATTCAAATTTGCTATGATGAATTTATTATAAACACTTTTATACAATGTCAAGTACTGTAAATTCAGAAATTATTGCGAGGTTTTTATAAGTGTGATTAATGCATCTGAATGAGTATCGCAATAATAAGAACACACTTATATCTGATACATATAATTGTATGAATATTTTCTTGCAATCGCAATAATTAATCTTTCATTTTAGGCCATTTTACAAAATTCACAATAATAAATGCACGCAATAATTTCTGAATTTACAGTATTTTTAAGACCAGAAGATTTTCAAATATTATACTCTTGAGTTGTTGGGCTATTTAGCACATGCCTAACTGAAAACTCAAGATTTAGTTTTGTAGTTTAATTGACTCTTATGTAGACAGTTAATGAAAAAATAAGAAGGGCATACCTCTTGGTACAGGTGTTCACCATTCTTATGTCTATTTATATATTTGTCTAATTATGAAGAAAGAAAAGAAATGTTTCCTTTTTACACGCCAATTGATGTTAATTGTTTTTAATTTTTAGGAAGCATATACTATGGTATTAAGTTGTAGCAGTACAATAAGACCGTACAGAGGATTTATAGAACAACTTTCTAAATGGGAGCAAGATGTACTTGGCAAAAAGACAACAAATATTGATGATCCAAATTATTAAATGCATGACATCACCAAAATGAGTATTTGTAAAATTCATTTAATAGAGATCATGACGGAACATATTTACATCAATATGGGTGAATAGTGTCTTGCTGTGCCTTGAGGGACAAAAAGGAAGAGGCCTACATTTGTTTTACTGAAAAAAGACTATAGCCATAATAGCTGTGTTGTTTGACCTTAATACAATTCTGTTGCCCTGATCTGAAGCAATTTATTCTGACAGGATGTTTTTATTGTCAAACTAAATTAGATTTTTATCTGTTTTGTTAAAGTAAACCTAAAATAAGACAAAAGTCACCCTCAGAGAATAGTGAACAACCTTATTTCAATGAGAAGCTACAAAATAACTAGTACTTTTTGTCTCAAGGTAAATTTATACATCAGCTGTTCATTATCTGTATATTAAAAAATGTAAAGTTGTCTCTTAATTATATATTCATGTACACTTATGAAGATGCTATGTGCTTGATAAAAAGTTAAATGAATAATGGAACTCTTGAAGACTGTATTTATCATTTACTACAGAAAACATTTAAAAACTAGGTAAATGATACCAGAATTTAACCTTTACCATTGTAGATTATTCATACTGGTAAATATGGCTAAATACAGGGCTCTTTTTTTTTTTTTAAATCTGATTTAAAATTGATCTTAAGTTATAGTTATACTGAAATGTTCATGACCTACAAATATTTTTACTTGTTAGATTTTTTTGTGAAATGACTTGCAGAGCTTTTCACTCATTGAGTCAAGTTTAGATATCAAATGCCAATATCATTTACATACAGCATAAGCTGCCAAAATTTGTATTTTGTTTTGTTTTGTACTGCCTATAATATGTTATATTTAATACATTACATAGGTCTGTAAGCATCCATGATTTAAAAAAAAGTATTAAAGTGGGTATACTGAGCCTAATAACTAATACTGCAACATGTGTGTGGAGAATAAAGTTAAGAAGGAACTATTGTTTTCCCTATAGATGATGCTCTTGTTTTTTCATGGTACTATGAAATTCATTGCATCTAAAATGAATTTAAAAAATCCATTTAGCTGTTCAGACAGTGATTACAGAATTTGTAAATGGTGTCTTAGAGCTATTGCTGTGTCTTTTTCCGACCATTTACAGGTCCTCCAAATGTTACCATTAGTTCTAGTTTCCTTCAGCTATAACGCTGTGGACGCAAAGCCCTAGGAACAAAATTCAGTTGTCCATAGAGTTTAAAATAATGACTGAAGTCTGCTTCATCAATGATTTATTGGACTTTTGACCCCTACTATTTTATTTTCTGAATTTTTACATGAAGTTTACCTTATCCTGAATCTTCTTTCAATGTTACATAAATGACTGAAACATTGTTACAAATTGGGTTTGCATCCCAGACTGCATTAAGGTTTTCCTATTCCAATTGAAAAAAAATGCAGATTTAGTCATGACAAAATTGCTATGGTCACACAACATTATTTTATAACAAATTTTAAGATAAATGTAGCCATAAAGCATTATTTCAATAAACATTTCTTATCTAACAGAGCTATGTTTAGACAAGGGGGTAGATAATACAAATTGACCATACAGAAATATAACGCCCTTTAATTATCTGATAGATTAACCAAGACCCAACCTCAGTAATAATTTAACTATATGTGTTCTTTTTTATGTTAAGAGTCTTTGTTCAATTTATCCTTTTAGAGATTTTTTTTGTTATATTTGTTTTAATATTGTCTTTCTTTGTTATTTGTAGGATTTTTTGGAATGGACATATTCTCATTCTCTTTTAACTTTCTTATAAATGACAGGTTAGGTTTTATATTTGTATGTAATGTTTTGTTGGCTGTACCTAGGAAAGAATGATGTCTTATGATATGCTTTACTTTTAATGTGAGGTCTTAAATGAGGGTAGGAATGCCCTTTATCGTCAAGCGTCAAAAGTCCATTTTTTGCTACCTATAGTGTAAAATGAGCCTTAATTTTTTATCGTCATTGGTCAAATCTCATTTTGTAGCTACCATTAGGGTCAAATGGAGTAAAATATATGTCGTTATTTTGACAAATATTTGACCGTCATTTGTCTTGTGGGGTATCCCATTCATACCCTCTTAAATGACTTTTAAAATTGTAAATGGGAAATATCACTGAACCATATATGAGTGATGGTAATCATGTAATTTGCAGAATGGATTATACTTTATTTAAATCCATTTTGCAGGAAAACAATTAATTTGAACAGATTATTGTATTATTATTTTTATTTTTACATGTTTTATAATGACGATTGTTTATCTGTGATATATGCATGTAGTTAATGTTAAAATCATTATCAATAAAATCATTCTTTACTTTGATTCATTGTAATTGAACTTATTCATTTTAACTTTTAGATTCTAGGTCAAAGTTCTTAAGAGATGTCTAATTTTTGAGAATTGAATGATGTGTTTTTGGTTAAACTTCCTGTATTTTGTTTGAAAAATATTGATGGCAATTGATATGGTACTGTGTTTAAAAATCTTTCCTAGACATCTGCCTCATCCACTAGGAAGTACCCATGTTCGCCACTAAATTTATTCACACTGAAATATAATTCCCAATATTTCTCATGTTTATATAAAAATGCTCAAATTAATTGTATAAAAAATGGGTTATATCTTTACTTACTTATTTAGTCCTTGCTATGCCTGATGGTGCATTGGGCAAGGATGTTATAACATTAAAGCAGTTTATTTAAGTTAGTTTTGTCAATCTTATGTCTAGCTTTTTTTTCATCACTCAGAGATATAGGGTTTATAATTTGGAATGCCAGACATGTGTTTCATCTAGGTAAGACTCATCAGAGGCCCTTAAATCAAAACAGTTTGAAGGCGAAATTCAATATGAAGTTAAAAAGCATTAAAACTGAAAATTTCCAAAACAATCAATGGCTATGGGTAAAAAAACTTTTTTTTCATTATTCAACATTTATTACTTATTACTGGATTTGTACTAACATGAGCAACATGACGGGTGCCACACATGGAGCAGGATCTGCCTACCCTTACGGAGCAACTGAGATCACCCACAGTTTTTGGCGAGGTTTGTGTTGCTCAGTCTAGTTTTCTATTGTGTTTTGTGTACTTTTGTTTGTTTGTTGGTCTTTTTCCTTTTTAGCCATGGTGTTGTCAGTTTATCTTTTGACTTATGTGTTTGAGCTTTTGATTTGTCATTTGATTAGGGACTTTTTGAATTTTCCTCAAAGTTTGGTATTTTTGTTATTTTACTTTTTGGAACCTTTGGCCTCTCTTTTAGTGAACTAAATTTAAAGAATATGATCATATTAATGATATTTCATGTCAGCACTTATTCAGTGAGAGTATAGTTGCAATACCAGCATGATTGACAACTATCTTGAGCAACAAACAATCTGACACAAAAATGGAATCTCCTGCTCTTTAATGTCAATCTTACTTGACTAAAATACCAAACTTTTAAGTTCAACAGACAATTTACTACACAAATCAATGTACAACTTAAAACACTGTTCTTGACCCCAAAAGTATATGTTAGATGTTGAAATATAAACATGGTAAATTTTAATTATTTATCAATTCCTTTCATTAGCTCACCTGGCCAAAAGGTCCATGTTGAGCTATTGCAATCACTTGACATCTGTCTTCATTTAAAATTAAATGTGGCTATTATTGAAGATACAGGTGAGAGACACAGGCTCTTTAGAGCCTCTAGTTTTGTTACACAGAAGCAATGATGGAAAGAGAGAATCTTTTAAAGGCATATTTAAAATATACATTAAACAGCAAAATCGTCATTGATGCAAGATCTACACAAAAAATGCCAGGTGAGCGATTCAGGCTCTTCGGAGCCTCTTGTTTAAACTAAGTATATTTTATCTGTAAATTATGCCTACTAGATGGATGATTGAAAATTATTAAGTTGTGTTTAGTGGAAATGACAAAAAATAAAACCAATTTTTAAGAAATACAAAATCAGTGCCAAGATCTTTATATTTTTTTTAAATTAAGGTTGCAGTTTCAGTGACTGCTTGAAACAGTATAACAGCATTACCTGAACAAACTGCAATACACTTTACTTGTTTTTATTCCCTTTTATACTGTTTGGTTTTACAGTATAAGGTATTTGTATATATGAATTCAGGAAATGATTTTTTTTAACGAATCTCGGTTTAAAAAAAAAATATAAAACATTAGTTTCTAAATTATTTTGTTGGAAAAGTGAATTTAAAAAAAAAGCATGTTTCCTAAAAATAGGAAATTAAATAGAATAACAATCCTTTATAATACTACTCTTTCTATCCATCATGCTTATGTCTTTATCAAAATCAATAAGGACAAATGTTTTGAAAAAACCCTAAGTGTATATTTTTTGGTTATCAAAATGCTATCGTCAGGTGTTAGACAATTAGTATACCTATAATAGAACATAAATACTCCTCAAACAACCATTTACAGGTAAATTTGGAGAGACAAAATAACTTGGTTCCTAGTTTTTTTTATTGGTCCCAGGTATACGAAGGAACCCAAGTTTATCTTAAAGGAGTCTTTATTTTAATAATTTCTTCTGTTTAAAAACTTTAAACTTGAAACTTTGAACATGATTTGATAAAATTATAAATTGCAATTAACATATATTTGTTATGCAAATTTAGTGACGCAACTGTAGTTTACGTTAACACGTTTACCTTATTTCATCTTGATGCAACTTGATGCATTACTTAGTGCTTTATCCCATGAGTTCACTATCTGTTCTATAGTGGCTGCTCTATCGTACATAGAAGAGGAGACATTGGTAATTATTTTTTGAAACCTCGTCGTCATTTCTCTCTAAAGTGTAATCAATATCTGACAGAATATCCTTTAAAACATTTAGGATACAAGGATACTGCCCAACTTTTGTAGCCATTTCTCTTATTTCTAAGAGCCACATACGACCCTTTGAATCTGTATAATAAATGCCGTGGTCTTTATCGCCATATTTTTATGTTAATATTTTGTCTCCGAAGAACAAAACAGACAGAAGATACCAAAAGGAACAATACAAAACTAGGAGCCGAAGAAAACCGGACAATACCATAGCAAAAAAGAAAACAGTTTACAAAACACTACATATAAAATTAGTCTTAGCAACAAAAAGCAAAGACAAGTATTTGTAACCTTTTAACACTTCTCGTTTAATTTTCTTTGTTTCACAATTTAGTAGTTCTGTTTTAGTTGTTCTTCTCTTTGACAGACTGTCTCTTCTATATACTCTACAGCTCTATTCACATAAATCTGAAAAATATACCAAGAGATTATTATTTTGTGCCACGGCAATATCTTCAATATTCCGGTTTGATGGTCAATTTATTTTTAAACCTATTTGTGAATTATTAACTCAAACCTTTAATGAGAACTTTTGATTTTTTTTTATGTGTGTTTAAGTACAATTTATTTGCATATAGATTGTTTCAGATTTTTTTTTTATAATCATAATTTTTATATATACAGATTTCATTTACCAGTAAGAAATTTTTAGAAATTTCTAAATTGTGGGCGGGATGTTATATTTATCTTTGTAATACTGGTTAATGAAATCATAATACAGTGTGTACTGGCTGGTCATTATCGCGTATGATACTATTTTGACTCGCCTACATAGCTGATGAATATTCATGACTTTATAGATAAGACAGCACGTGTAGCCAAACAGAGTGGAGTTGTAGATTTGTAGCATAACTGTATATGTGTAGTTGATAAAATATAGAATTAGAACCGAAATATAGTTTTTTAATATTACATGCCAAGCGAGTAAAAACACGGATCTATCAACCAGTATTAAAAAGATAAATATAACATATTGTTGCACTTCAGTGTTCCTGTTGTTCCTTTGTTTTCCTCTTATAATTGATGTGTTTCCCTCGGTTTTAGTTTGTAACCCGGATTTGTTTTCCCTCAATCGATTTATGACTTTTGAACACCGGTATACTTATACTGTTGCCTTTACGTATGTTTATCAAGACATCGCATGCAATCTGGTTTACATAGCTAGAAAAGCGACTCTGATGCATAACATTTATAAAGTGTTATATTTAATATTTCTTGATTATTTTGATTTTGTTTCTCTCACCGTTTCCTTCTCGCCTCGACGAAGTCGATAAAACGAGAAGTAAGTGTGCTGTTTCCGGCTGCGTCGTCAACAATGTATCAATTTGTAATTATGTTAATTGATGGGGAACCACTGTGGTAGGTCAGTGATATTTGGTATGCAGTAGTATTATGCACATTTCATTTCCAAGGAGATTTTTTTCCCCCACAGTCATGATCTATTGACTTTGACGCGTTTTCTAAATGTACATACATTAGTGTATGATTAGGTCGGTTTATGTGGAACCTTTAGTGGTAAATAAATGATATTTGGTATGCAGTTATATAAGTATTGGCACTTCTCATTTCAATTTGGATTGTTTGTCTGCTCTCTTAGGCGTATATATTCTATTGACTTTGAAACATTAACATTATTTACCTGTATTAGTTTGTGATTAAGTCAGTTTATGGGGAATCACTATTTCATTTCCATAAAGATCTATCTAGCCTTGCCACCTCTGTTATGGTCTATTGACTTTGAAACTTTGCAATGTTTACATGTATCACTTTGTGATAAGGTCAGTTTATGGTATGCCACTAGTTGAAGGTTAATAATTTTTGGTATACAGTAGTATTGGTATTTGCACTTTTGATTTCTTAGAGATTATTTGGTCCCACCCTCTCAGTAATTTGACTTTGAATGTTTTACACGTTAAAGTATTGCCATTTTAATTCCAACATTTCCTTTATACTATCCATACTAAATTTTAAATTTGAGTGTTTATTGTGGCCATTATAAACAGAAGAATATATTAAAATATTGCCTATTGTCTGTCACTCAGTTTTGACAACATTGCCTATCGTTATTCTCCATTTTGAAGTCTTCAGGGTAAAACTTTAATGTCAACCGTCACAACTACATGTGAGATCTTCATAGCCTTCATTGAATCAGAAGAATTGAGTTTATCTAATAAGACGGGTGCCAATGATGACAATAGACCATTACGGTACAGAAATCTTAACTCAAGGCAAACTATATATAATTAGGCGATATTTCAAGAGATACAGTCAATTAAAAAAATGTGAAATAGGTCTATAAATGTATAGAATATATACAAAACATATACATGTTTTCACTTGAATTTACGATTTCTCAAAAATCCGCCCTCAGATTTTGTTTCAAAATTTCATTTTATTGCTGTAAATAATATGAAAATATTAAGGGGTCACCAATTTTTTTTTTTTTTTTTGCTGTCATATATATGGTTAATGAT